CTGCTCTGTAGCTTGCTGTCGTCAGCGGTGTGTTTCAGAGGCCGGCGCGTGCTGATGTGTGCACCTGTGGCTCCCGCCTCGGACCGCCACGACGCGTTCCCTCACCGCGCACGACGACAACGCCAGCCGTGCAGCCGTGTCTTCATGCGACCACGAACACCGGTGCCGTGTCCAACATCCCTTTCCTGCCTCCTCACGGGCTTGTGCAAACGTCTGCCCAGAGGCACTGAGAGGCGAAAGTGCGGGGCTGAAGGGTGCGTAGACCCTCGGCCGCGCTGGTATCGCGGATCCCCGTGCTCTGCTGCGTTCACACTGGACTTTTACTCTGATTGCTGTCAAATGATGCCTTTACTCATCCCCTTGATTTCCAATGGGGTGAGCATCTTTTTTATGTGTCTGTGGCCACTTGAGTTTCCTCTTCTGGGACTGCTTATTGTGAATCTTTGCTCATTTTTCTGGTGGGTTGCTGTTTTTCTGTTTTTTGACGAATTCTTTGTGCAGTCTGGAAATGAATCCTTTGTCCATTACATCTGTTCTACATATCTCTTTCAAGTTGCTCTGGACTAAACTGTGCCCCCCACCCCCAGATTCATTATTTGAAGCTCTAATCCCCAGGCAGAGAGAAGATATTTGCAATGTTAAAAACCGATTTTATCTACAGATAATGTCAGAGAATTCAATAGAAAAAAAGCTGGTGCTACGATTGGGCAGTTTGCAAATCTGGGGTCCCAGTTGGTCAATAAGCAGAAGAAACACTCAACCACACTAACAGTTCAGTTCAAAGAAGACCAGAAACCATTTAAAACTCATAGGACTGGCATAGACAGCAGAATTCATGTGTAATGTGTACTATAATTTTGGTTTTTCAAAACATGCATTAAAAAAAAGAAAGTAGAAGGGCACCTAGATGGCTCAGTCGGTTAAGCATTACACTCTTGGTTTCGGCTCAGGTCATGATTTTGCATTTCCTGGGTTTGAGCCCCACATCAGGCTCTGTGCTGTCTCAGAGCCTGCTTGGGATTCCCTTTCTGCCCCTCCTGCTCTCTCCCTCTCTTGCTCGCTCAAAATAAATAAATAAAACTTAAGAAGAAATTGGGGCGCCTGGGTGGCTCCACTGGTTGAGTGTTTGACTTCGGCTCAGGTCATGATCTCACAGTTTGTGAGTTCAAGTCCTGCATCGGGCTCTGTGCTGACAGCTCAGAGGCTGGAGCCTGCTTCTGATTCTGTGTCTGCCTCTCTCTGCCCTTCCCCTGCTTGTGCTCTGTCTCTCTGTCTCTCAAAAATAAACAAACATTAAAAAAAAAAGAAATAAAATAAAATCCTCTAAAAGACACATTAAAAAAAAAAGTAGATACAGGGGCGCCTGAGAGGCTCAGACCGTTATGTGTCCAACTCTTGAGCTCAGCTCAGGTCTCCATCTCAGGGTCATGAGTTCAAACCCCACATTGGGCTCCATGCTCCATGTGTAGACTACTTAAAAAAAAAAAAAAAAAAGATTTGTGGGGCACCTGGCTGGCTCAGTCCAAGGAGCATGTGACTCTTGATCTTGGCATCATGAGTTTGAGTCCCGTGTTGGTGCAGAGATTACTTAAAAATAAAATCTCTCGGGGCACCTGGGTGGCTTAGTCGGTTAAGCGTCCGACTTTCGCTTAGGTCATGATCTCGCGGTTCCTGGGTTCGAGCCCCGCGTCAGGCTCTGTGCTGACTGCCAGCTCAGAGCCTGGAGCCTATTTCAGAGTCTGTGTCTCTCTCTCTGACCCTCCCCTGCTCACGCTGTCTCTCTCTCTCTCCTAGAAATAAATAAAAAACATTTTAAAAAAAATCTTTTTTTTTTGTTGTTAGTAAAAGTAGATTTGTGATCAAATTGAGCCTTGTCTGTCCCTCTCCCCCTCCTGCTTCTATAGCCAGATCTTACCCAGGTGATGGAGGAACCTAAACCCAGGAGAGACAAGCTTACGTTGCAAGTGAGGTTTCTTAACCCCTTGTCCTCAACCCCACTCCAGGCCCAACAAGGCTATGCCAGGACTCTGCTGAGTCATCTTTCTGGTCTTCATCTTCCTACTTCTTCAAACACGCCAAAGGTCACCAGGGAAGAGGAATCAAAGACACCTACGTGCTTGGAGATTTCCAAGGATAAGTGTTTTTCCAAGTATCTTTCAAGAGTAGGAGTGCCTGGGTGGCTCAGTCGGTTGAGCATCCAACTGTTGATTTCAGCTCATGTCATGATCTCAGGGTTTGTGAGATCCAGCCCCACATCCGGCTATGCACTGACAGTGCCGCACCTGCTTGGGATTTTCTCTCTCCCTCTCTCTCTGCTCCTCCTCTGTGCAGTCTCTTTCTCTTTCAAAATAAAGAAGTAAACTTTATTTTTTTTTTTAATGTTTATTTTTGAGAGACAGAGAGAGACAGAACGTGAGTTGGGGAGGGGCAGAGAGAGAGGGAGACACAGAATCTGAAGCAGGTTCCAGGTGCTGAGCTGTCAGCACAGAGCCCGACATGGAGCTCAAACCCACAAACAGTGAGATCATGATCTGAGCCGAAATCAGATGCTTAACCCACTGAGCCACCCAAGCAGCCTTAAATAAATAAACTTTAAACAAAACAAAAAACCAAAAAAAGCCAGGAGGAGAGTCACAGAGGGAGATTTTCACAGACATCCACCCAGACCCCAAATCCAAAAGATGTGAGCTGAACCCCACCCTCCCTCCATCTCTCCCTTCTCCTGTTCTGCGTTAACTACAGCCCCATTACATCAAAATGTGGATACAGCGGGTGTGGAGGAGTGCCCCCAAGTGGAGGTGGGGGCTGCTTTTACCCAGCTAGTTCATTTTGTCTGGAATGTTACATCAAGAATGCCCACAGGCCACAAAAGGGATGCTTAATGACATTGGAGTGACTGACCAGGAACTTGTCACTTAAAAATAAATTATTTTAAGTAATCTCTACATCCAACATGGGGCTCAAACTAATGACTGCAAAATCAAGAGTCGCATCTCCTCCCACTGAGCCAGCCAGGCTCCCCAGAAACTTGTCACTTGTAATGTTCCATAAACAGAGTCTCTCTTTTTTAAAAAAAAATTCTAATGTTTTATTTATTTCTGAGAAAGAGAGAGAGACAGGCAGCTTGAGCAGGGGAGGGTCAGAGACAGGGAGACACAGAATCAGATGCAGGCTCCAGGCTCCGAGCTGTCAGCACAGCGCCCGACGTGGGGCTCAAACCCACGAAGTGTGAGATCATGACCTGAGCCGAAGTTGGACTGCGCCACCCAGGTGCTCCCATGAAGAGAGTCTCTTGAACAACTATGGCAAGCAAGAAGGTGATTGCTTTCCATGCTGGGGCTCTATTCGGACATGTTAGCTGAGCAGGGAATGCAGATCGTTCCGGTACTGGTACAGCGGCAGGGGGACTCCTGTTGTTTTTACTTCACCCACATTAACACTGCTGTTGAGAAAGGTTGACACATCACTATAACTATGTCCGAAAATTGTCTGGTCAAATGCATCAGCTTAATTTCAGATTCTTGCCAAAACTGTAGATGATTTTTTTTTTCTTTCAACATAGTATCTTCCTTACGAAAGCATACAGGCCGTATAAGGAATTGGTAAGTTCGTGGAGGAGGATCCCTTGGCTCGGTTTTACCAATGCCAACCTAACAGAATCCGGGGCTGCAGGCCCTGGGATTCTGTCATAGGTGATGACTCAGTTAATTACCGCACTGCTTCTCACTGCACACTTGGAAACAGAGGTTCAATTTCCTTTGGTTCTTGCCAAAACTGCTTATGAAACATATCTGGTGCGTGTGCCCACGGCATATAAAAATACCAGTTCATACTTTCCCTTGATACATTTCATTACAGGCTAAATTTAGCACCTGGCCTGGGGCCTGGCAGCTCACCTGCTTCTAACTAGCACGTCTGCACTTCCGTGCCTGCTGCAGGGCGCTCTGTCGGTGCCCTGCTCCCCACTGACGGTGGTGACATCTAGAGAAACAGGTCAGCTGTCAGGACAGCCCCAGGGTTTGGGAGGCCTCGCAATTAACACCGAGTCTCCTCTGGGGGAAAAAAAAACAAAAGCTTTAGTCATAGGTTTAAAAAAGGTCTCAGCGTTTCATCACGCGTTCCTTCGGTTACAGGTGAGATGGACGCATTCTCGGGCCGCAGGTGCGTCTGCACCCCCCGCCCCGCCGCAGGCGAACCCCGTCTCTGCGCGGCCGCGCCTCGGGCCCCGCGCGCGTCTCCCCGACCCAGCGGCCTCGGGCTCCCCGCTTCTCAGTTTGCGAGCGCGCCCCACGCAGGGAGGGCCCCGTCCCTTTGGCACAGGTGCATTTTCGGTATTTTGCTCGCCCCTCGTCGCCGTCTGTGCTTCCGTGCAGCGCGCTCGGGCGGCCGTTCTCGCGCGCCGCAGCGGTGACGTGACACCCCGCCGGCGACCCCGGGCGGCCCGGCACGCGCGGGCACCCCACCGCCGGGACAGGCCCGCAGCCCCGGCGCCCGCCTTTAGGGTAGGCCGGCGAGGGGCGGGGCTGGCAGGCGCCGCGCCGCGCTGACGTCACGCCCGACGGAGGGCGGGGCCCGGGCGGCGGCGGCGGCGGCGTTTCCTCGGCTCGCGTGGGTACCTCAGCCTCCTACTCGGCAGCCTCCTTCGCGTCCTCCTCAGAGGCCTCGGCGGCGCCTGCCCCCTCGGCCGCCCGCCGCCGCCGCCGCCGCCGCCGCCGGCTCCGCCTCCTCGGCGCCCTCCAGCGCCCGCCGCGCCGCCGACATGGGCCCGCGCCCGCCGCGCCGCCGGGCCGAGGGCAGCTGAGGCGCCGCGCGAAGATGGGCGAGGGCGGAGCAGGGCCCGAGCGCCAGCCCGAGCAGCCCGGGCGCCCCGCGCGCGCCCGCCCGCGCCGCCGCGGGGATGCCCGCGCCCGCCGCCGCGCCCTGAGCGCCTTTGTCTGCCGCCCGCGCCGCCCGCCGCACCACTGGCTTCGCGGGCCTGCGCCGCGGCCGGGGGCGCGCCCATGAAGATGGAGCCGGGCCGGCCGGCCTCCCCGGCGGGCGGCGCGTGCCCGGACCCGGAGCCGGGCGGGCCCGACGGGCCGGGGGCCGCCCGGAGCGCGCCCGCCGCCCCCGCCCCGCGCCGCGCGCTCGGTCCCCCAGAGCCCGCGGCCTGCCCGGGCGCCGGGCGGGCCCCGGGGCCGGAGCGGCAGCCGCAGCTCGCCGGCCCGGACGCGCGCCCCGAGAGCGGCCGTGCGCCGGCCCCGGGCCCGGCAGCCTCTTACCTCCCGCCGGGCGCGGCCGCCCGCCCGGACCCGGAGCCCGAGCCCGAGCCCGAGCCCGAGCGGCAGCCGCCCGAGCTCGGCCCGCTTCTGTCCTGGACTGCAGAGCCCGAGGATTACGGCCCCCCGATCTGCCCGGGGAGCGCCTGTCTCCGTGTGCCCGGCTTCAGCCACAGCCGGCACCTGAGGCCCGAGGTCGACTTCTTCCCTTGCTTCCCCTCGGCCGCGGTGGGCGAGCTGACGCCGGAGGCGGGTCCCGGGGACCCGGCCCGGCCCGCGGACTTCAGCCAGACGTGCAGCCGAACGAGCGAGCCCGCGGCGTGTCCGGAGGACGGCCCCCGCCTCCGAGCGGTGTTCGATGCCCTGGACGGCGACGGGGACGGCTTCGTCCGCATCGAGGACTTCGTGCAATTCGCTACGGTCTACGGGGCAGAGCAGGTAACGCGGCGAGCGCGCCCGGGCCCTGCGGTGTTCGCCGAGTGCGCGGCGGCCCCCGGCGGTCCCGCGTTCCTTCGTTCCTTCTGTGCTCGGCTCTGCCTGAATTGCGCTGAACTTTTCCCCTTCCGGGGGCTTCTGTTCCAGGGAGTCACCTTCCCCCCCTGCTCCCGAACCACACCAGCTGGTTTGTCCCAAACGGAGAGGAGCTCCTGGCGGGGACGTGCCCCTAGACCTTCCCCACCGCAGAGGCGCTTGGCCGCCGAGAGTCACGCTGATGGACGCCTGTTTTGAGCACAGTTACTTCACTGTGTGCCGTTGGCGAGCGTTCTCCCTGGGCCCATCTTTTACTGTTCGGGAGACCATGATCGCTCAGAGTTTTCATGTCTAACCTTCTCTAGCCCGGAGGGGAAGGGAATACACCCCAGGGGAAAGGGATGGGCCTGAGAGTGGGGTGGTGTGCACAGACGGGAGCAGAACTCGGCCAGGAGGAGGTGAGCTGCGAAGACAGGTGACCAGGATGCACACTGCTGTGTGTCAGGGGGCCCGCGGCCTCCAGGGCTGCAGCTGTTCTGGGAGAAGGTGGGCCTCAAGGTTTGTTCTGCCCCTGTGTCTCCTGTGCGTGGAGAAGACACTCAGGGTTGTGTGTTCTGCCGACAACCCAGTAGACATCAAATAGGTTACTGGCCCACTTTTAAATATTTTACTTAGTGGTAGGCAGTCCTCACAATGTTGATTTGCTAGGTTTTACATTCTGGTGACTTCTTACATATGCACACATTGGATAAGTGGGTGTTCAAGTGCACAATGTGTTTAAGCCCAGAGGTTTCTAAGAAAAGAGGTAAAGTTGACACCTTGCTATTTAGTGTGTCAGTTATAACATTTACGAACCTTTATAGGGGATCCGTGTGTCCCCCGGAGTATTCACAGTGTGCCTTGAGCAGTCAGTGTAAAGATCTGGGTCCTCCTGGATCAGGCTAGCAGGATGTGCTGCCCTTGTGGCCATGCTGAGCACTGGCGTCAGCGTCCTGCTTGCATTTAGCTCTGTGTTGGCAGACATTGCTGAGGATGGCTTTCCCGTACCTAATGGTCAGAGAGACATAGGACTGGCAGTTTCCTCTGTTGGCAGCATGGATTGTGATTGCTGGTTCAGTTTTTTTCTTTTTTCTTTTTAAGGTTTATTTATTTGGGGGGGGGCAGAGAGAGAATTCAGAGCAGGTTCTGCACTGTCAGTGTAGAGCCTGATGTGGGACTTGATCCCATGGACCGTGAGATCATGACCTGAACCGAAATCAAGAGTCTGATGCTTAACTGACTGAGCCTCCCAGGTGTCACTGGTTCAGTTTCTTTTGATGCTTTTCCTTGATGCCTCTGGGCTAGAGAACACCCCCCCCCCCCCCCCCCCCCCCCCCCCCCCCCCCCCCCCCGCCCCCCCCCCCAGCATCCTTGGTGGTGGTGGTAGTTGTTGTTTTTAACTCGTGGTCTGTGTCTTCTCCCCAAACACACCCTTCCTCTTTATGCCAACCAGTGATGTTAGAGAAATACAACATTTGATCTTCTTTATCATGACTCTGTGGTTTATGTGAAGCTCATGTATGTTTTCACTGGATCACCATCTTTTCCCAAGTGGTAGTAAGCAGGTGGTTTTCATCTCACTTGACAGGTAAGGAGCCGGAAGCCCAGCAAGGTTGAATCAACTTTCCTGACTCCACAGACTGTCAGAACTAGAGCAGGGACTAGCACGAGGGGTTTTGATTCATAGCCTTTAGGTAGGTGGCTCTCAACTTACTAGATTTGGTGGCTCAAAGTATTTCACAAAGTTTCATGTTAGTGACTTCTATAAAATCCTTTTCATTTGAGAAACACCTTTTGTAACTGTCCTTGTCTATCACAGTGGGAAAAACTTTGGGTGCTGTTTGGGGCTGAGCTTTCTTGTGATCACAGAGTAGAAATGAGTCAGAATTCTTTGTTCTTATAGCTCCTGGTGGAATTTTAAATTTGAGGTCAAAGCCGAGGTGACTTGGGGTTTGGGGGAATTGGCGAGTATCCGGAGATCCCCTGTGGCATTGCCCCTTCTGCCCGCTGGCCCAGACTTTGTAGGAAGAAGCAGTGCTCGGTGTGGTCTAAGCTTGACTTGGACAGGCTTCCTGGGCTGGTGGAGGAGAGCTTTTGTTTTGGAGCAGATAATCTACAGAGTAATGAAAGGTTGATTTTTGTGTCTGCATAAACTTTCCTAGCCTTTATTATGACTCAGGATTGCTTTTTCCAAGTCTGATGTCAGAATGTATTATAGAAGAGCAAAGAGAAGAAATATTCGCTGGTAGTGAAATAGTTTAAGGAAACGTGAAGGATCTACCTCATGATGAGTATTTTTAAACTTTTAAATGAAAAGTCTTAAATACAGACAAAAATAGAGGGATTGGTTTAGTGAAATCCCCCACCCCAGTTTCACTAGTCTTTGTTCATCTGTCAGCTCCCTGCTTTCACACTGTGTGGGAAGCACACGCCTGACATAACATTCCATCCATATATATTTCAGTTTGTGTTTCCAGAAGATCAGGATTCTTCGTTAAACATTTGTGATTTTTTAAAAAAAAAATCCTAGGAACAGATAAGTTGGATAAGAGCAATAATGACGATAAGTTTTTGTACTTTCCACCTTGAGATTTCAAAATACTGAGTGCACAAGACTCTTCGGCTGGTCACATTACTGTCCTAGATGGTAGCTCATTACCTTGATTATTGTCAAATTTTCAAAGGTAGCACATTGAGTAATCTGTTTATGAAGGAAGCATTTTAAATTATTTAAGCTGATTATCTGAATTTTTAATGGAAGCAGCTCCTATTCATAATACAGGTGGCTTTTGTGTCCATCTTTCTTTAGCAGTGTTATGGTGTGTTTGGCTCTCCTTACATCATCTGGGTGGTAGATCAGGTGTGGTGTAACGTAACACAGTGTTAGTCATCCGCAGAGGGAAGGAGAAAATGGACTGTAGTGGAGCTTTCTGGTTGTATCTTATTGAAACAGAAGTTCATAGGCACTAGTCATGAAGTTGGAATCGATTATTTTTAAGGCCTCAACCGTTTCCGAAGATTGTTCATCGACGTGACCCCTTTATACGGAAAGGGCTGATGCTTTCGTAGCCACTAGCAACTCATCCTGACACAGAATTTACAAAATAAATTCCAAGAGTCCCATAAGAAAGGGTTGGTTTCTTTTGGCTTTATTTTTGAAAGGAGTTCATTACAATTGTAAAGATTTCTCTTCATATTTATTATTACACTTAGACATTTACATTTTCCTAGTTACTGATCCTTTCCAGGGCACCCACACGTGGAAACACTGGACGCCCTTCAGTGCCCTTGTAGGCACTGTGCTCTTTAGTGCTCGCACGAGCGGGCTGCCGCAGGAAGTGCCGACGCTCAGGGTTCTCTGCTTGTTCTGCCCCGCTGCTTGGTGGCAGCTGGGAGTCCCTAGACACATGGCTGCACCCTTCAGTTCCCTCCGTGTCCTTCCTGGTTTCTTTCCTAGCCTTGAATTTGAGTGTGGGTGTATCTGTGTACATGAGAGAGAATGAACGCAGGTGTACGAGCAGGTGCATGTGGGAGCTGGAGTGGGGTGAGCATGTGTCCTTCTGGGTCTGTGTGTTGGATGAATTACGAAAAGGCAGATGAGGTTCCTTTCTGTGCTTGGATCACAGGCAATTTTGTTAAGTGTCTTAAAAGCATCTTTCTCATATTATAAAAGTAACTCATGCTAATTAAAAATTTTGAAAATGAAGAGCGATATAAAATATAAAACAAAAAAAGTGACCAGTATTCCCCTTTTTCTGAGAAAAACATCACTAGCATTTTAGTGTATCTCCCTCTAGACTTTTTTGTACACACAAACGCACATACACAGAGTTTTGTACACAATTGATATCCTAGTGGGTAAAAGCCAAGTTACTTTTATAGATGTTCATTGTTTTAAAAAATGAGACTAAGTCATATCAGTAAGCAAAATAAGAAAAATGAAAATCACCTATAATCTCACGACCCAGAGTAACTACTTAAGAATTTAAAATGTAAATTAGGGACGCCTGGGTGGCTCAGTCAGTTAAGTGTCAGACCTCAGCTCAGCTCATGATCTCACCATTCATGGGTTCCAGCCTGACTCTGTGTTGGCAGCTCAGAGCCTGGAGCTGCTTGGGATTCTGTGTCTCCCTCTCTCTCTGCCCCTCCCCCACTTGTACTCTGCCTCTCAGTCTCTGAAAGATAAATAATTGTAAAAAAAATTTTTAAGTAAATTAAAATATATGTAACAAATGCTTCATTGTACAGAAATGGTGTAATTCCCATGTCTGTTGTTTTGAACCCACTTTTTGACCTTTTTTTGAAATTAAAGATCTCTGACACCAGTTTACTTGTTTCCAGAAAGATTCAGGATTGTTAGGGGTCATTCTAGCGCAGGAACTGACATATAGGAAGAATTTAATCCCATGTAGACCACACAGACAAGGTTGCAAAGTGCACCAAGCTCATGAATTGCTTCCCTTCCAAATACTTATTTTGGTTTCAATTCCAGAAACAGGGTCCAAACATTAGTTAAAATGGAAATGTCAGACACAAGGGTTAGGCATCCACTGAGGACTATTATGTGGCCCTTAACAGTGATTATTATGAAGCCTCCAAGGTAATTTAAATTTATTTTTTTTTATGTTTTATTTATTTCTAGGAGAGAGAGAGAGAGACAGTGTGAGCAGGGGAGGGTCAGAGAGAGAGGGAGTCACAGACTGAAACAGGCTCCAGGCTCTGAGCTGGCAGTCAGCCCAGAGCCCGACGCGGGGCTCGAACCCACGAACCGCGAGATCATGACCTAAGCGAAAGTCGGACGCGTAACCGACTAAGCCACCCAGGCGCCCCTCCAAGGTAATTTAGAGTAGTGCTTCTGATAGAATGAATTGTACACCATGATTATAACTGAAAATTGTCCACATGGAAAAGTCTTAAGGAAATATTAA